TCACAAGTTATGTCAGTCAAAAGACAATGGGATAATATCTTTAAAGTCCTGAAAGAACTTGTCAAGTTAGAATTCTATAGTTATTTTGGGCTTTTTTTTTTTAAATGAAGAAAAAACAGCTTTGAATTAAACAAAAGCTGAGATGATTTGTTATCAGTAGACTTGCTCTGCAAGATATGTTAAAGAGGAAAGAAAACCTTACCAAATTGAGACATACATAAATGCTAAAGGAAAAGAGAGAAAAAACAAGTTATCTATATGAGGAATGAAAGGGGAAGCATCATTACGGAGCTAACATTAACTAAAAAGAAAATAAGGGAATATTATTCCCAACTTTTTGACAATAAATTCAGTGTCTTGGATGAAATGGGCAAATTTCTTGAAAGACATTTCTAAATTATAAACGTATACAAGAAATAATAGAAAATACTAATGTAATATATATATATATATATGTATGTGTGTGTGTGTGTGTGTGTGTGTATATATATATATATATATATATATAAATTTATAAGGAAAAAATTTGTAACAATGTAATCTTCAGGCCAAGTTGGCTCCACTGGTGAATTTTCTCAAATATTCAAGGAAGAACTACTAATACCATACAAATTATTTCAGAAAATTGAGAAGTAGAGAGGACATTCCAACTCTATGCCTCCTGGTCAAGTGTTATGTCTCTAAACCTGGGAGTCAAGTAACATGCCAGAAACACTTTACCATGGGACATTAAGTAACTAGGTGTTTATTATCATCTGGGATATGTTGAACCACCAAGTGATAATGTCTGACATACCCATCAGTAGTTCATCATAAGATGAAAATGGTACATCTGAGAAAGCTCAAATATGACCAAAGGGTACAAATAAGCTGACCAGGAGCAGATAGCCCAGATCCCTATGTCACCCAGCACACAGCTCCTTCCCCAGATTGCAACTATAGCCCTATGGGGTTTAGCTGTAGGACGGAAAAGCCTGAGCTTGGATTACAGCTAAGTATGGGGAACAACTAAACATGGTTGAAAGCTGCATTATAGCCACATTTGGGGGTGGCCTTGAAGGACAGTGAAAAGAAGAAACCTCAGTGGACAGAGCTATGAGTCATGCAGCTGGCATTCACTTTATGGAAGGAGACATGGCCCAAGGTGATAATGTATTCGTATTCATGAACAGTAACCAATGGCCTTGCCATCTGGTCAGGGACCTGGAAAGGAAAGTTTGGAAGATAAGGGGTCTAGGATAAAGGCATGTTGATGAACATATGGGAGTGGACCTGAAGTGTGAGGGTTTTGTATTATACATTGACAAAAAAGACTCAGTCGGTAGTTAAAATGGCTTAACCAGTCGGCATTAAGCAGTTTTGAATATTGGCCTACCTTGAACTAGCATAATTGGAGCAGTAGCAGTGCCCATGGTGGCAGAAATGGAGGCTATGCATGGTCTCAAGAGCATAACCTCCTACTTCCAAGACCAATCCAATTATTCCTATCTCTGAATGTTCAACCTGATTTACCTACTGGGATTTTGTGGTTTCCATCCCTGCATCTCTGGGTTCTTCAGGATTCTAATACCTAAAGAGGGTGCATTTTTACCAGGTGACACAGCAAAAGTCACATCAAACTAAGACTTACAGTTGTCCCCAGGATATTCTAGACTTCCAGTATTCAGGGAATAGCAGCAAAAAGAGGTACTATTCTTTTGGCAGGGATAATAGACACTAATCAACAGAAAGACTTAAGGCTGCCTTTAAAAAAATGGGAAAAGGATAGAAAATATGGAGGTCAGGTGATGCACTTGAGAACCTCCCTTCCCCTGTTATAACTGTGAATGGACATGGTTAGCAATCCCAACCCAAGAGAGGTATAGTTAGGCCCAGAGCCCTCAAGAATGAAGGCCAGGTTCATACCACCTGGTTGGCCACTGAGACTTCCTGCCCTTTTTTCACAGCAGCAGATATGATGTCTCTGCTGACTACTCCACTTCCTCCTCCTCTATCCTTCACAAGTATTTGCCATCTTGGCCTCTGCTTCTTTGAGGCGCCAAAAAGACACAGAATGAAACTTGCTCAACCTGATACAGGGTATTGACACAAAATCTACAGCTAACATTACAATGACTGTTTTCCCCTTGAAGGTAGGAAACAAGACAATAAGTGCATTCTTAGTACTCCAATTCAATATTGTAGTGAGAGCAGTAAGGCAAGAAAAAGAAATAAAAAGCATATGAATTAGGTAAGACAAAATATAATTTATTTACAGATGATTATATAGAAAATCCTAAGGTGACTATAAAAACTTGCTAGAACTAAGTGTAGTAGGTAGTAGTATGCAAAATCAATATACACAAATGAACTGTAATTCAAAACATTAGAACTAAAACATTAGAAATTGAAATTAAAGAAAAATACAATTTATAATAGCATTAAAATGATGACATTTATAGGATACATTTAGAAGCTAGCTGAAACTTAACGTTATCAGATTCTTGATTCTCACCCTCTCCTGGGGTCAAAGTTCCCGTATTATCTCAGCCCATAGTACCTATGTTCTTTTAGAGTTACAGACTAGAACTGTAGGATATATTCCTTACTTTCCCCCTCTTACCACATAGCTAGTCTATCAATAAGTCTAGTGCATCTTTAAAATGTATCTTGAATCCTACTATTTTCACTACTTTTCCTAGAGCAATTCATGTCCACCTATCTTGTATGACATTCTGACTGGCCTCTGAGCTGTCATTTGTTGTTTCTGTGGCCCCATGAGCTCATAGACAAACATGTACCTGAGCAGGGTGTCCTAGCAGAATGGTCCTGACTCCTGAATGAAGGCTTCCACAGAACCTCAGTTCTCTTAGTGGGGAGAAACTTTCATCAACAGAATTGTTTCAATCTTCGTTTTATAATATATTTTGCCTAATGATTGCTTGCATCTCTATTTCTGTGGATAGGGATGGTTTACAATTTGGGGTGGTTTACAAGATTCCTAGTTCAAGAGCTCCCTCTGCTGTCAGTGCAGCAAAGTGTGGCTGCTTTCTTTGCTGATTGGCTGTGTGTGAGGGATGGGGGCACTGATGGGAGGAAGAGTTGTGCATTTTTCTGTTTTAAGGGTCCTAACTTTCCCATTCCTACCTTTTCTGTCTGCACTGTGCAGTTCTCTGAAGGTGATTCTCCCTTCCCATTTATCCAGCTCTTCTTGGAAGAGTTGCTTTTCCAAGATGCCACCTCGAGTCCTGCACACACTTACAAGTCTCTTCCATTTCACTCTGATCAACACAATGCTTTTCAGCATTTTTGCATGTAGGGAGGACTTTCTCTTTCTGTGACTTTAGATCCCTCTATGGCCTTTGCCTCTCTTCCCTCTTTCCCGCAGTCTTCCCTGAACAGTACTTGCCCCTCGACCCCCAACCCCAAGGTTTGGGGCAGCAGGACCATGTAGGGTAATGTGCCAAGGTCTCCTTCTCCTTGGTTTTTGTTTTTGTCTTTTTAACTTACGATAATTGGAAGTTTGGATTTTCTTTGTCTTTTATTCATGCCAAGGACATATTTTTATGTTGCTTTCTTTACTATTGCCATTCTTCATTGAGTTGTTTTTTGGAGAATTTGTTGGAAAATACAAACTGATACAGCAACTATTACTCCAGTTATAGAATTCCTTAGTTCCTGACCTCTTGGGCTTTGGGCAGCACTGGTTATGAAAGGTTATTTCCAGGAAGAGCTGTATTCTAGAGGCAAGATTCAATTGTCCTCTAAGGGGCCATCAGAAAAACAGTCCTCTGAAATCAGGACTGATTCAGGATCATTTCTGAATCCAGGCTTCAGTGTTCTTAGGAGAGGGGTAGAGTAAAGCCTACTCTGTAGACCTTTGTCCATACCTAAAAACAGGTATGGGAAAAGGAGGGCGATTCTATCATTTTAGCCCATTTTTACACGTTTTTAAAAGGTTTATACTATAGAAAAATTTAACTTCGTATTATAGAAACATTTAAATACATACGATAATAAAGAAATAATTTAATAAGCTCCATGCCCCCAGTAATAACTTTTAAGGGGGTACATGGGAGAGTTTGTTACATGGGTAAGTTGCCAGTTGCAGGGGTTTGATGTACAAATTATTTCGTCACCCAGGCAATGAGCATAGTACCCCGTAGGCAATTTTTTTTAACCTTCACACCTCTTGCTCAGACCCTCTAATGCAGTGCTGTCCAGTAGAAATATAATATGAGCCACAAACATAATTTTAAACTTTTTACCAGACATATGGCTTTAAAAAGTACAGAGAAACAGGAAAAACCAATTTGATCAATATAGTTTACCCAATAAGTATATCTAAAATACGATTTCAATGTTAATCAATATAACAAAATGTCACTGATGTATCTAATATTTCTCTTTTCATACTAAGTCATCAAAATCTTGGGTGTATTTGACACTTACAGCACATCTCAGTTTAGCCATTTTTCAGGTGCTCAACAGCCACATGGGCTGGTGGCCACCTTACTGGATGGCACAGTCCTAATACCTTCCTATTACTCTTAGAATAAAATTCAGAGTCCTTTCCAGGCCTCTAGGGCTTACATAATCTGGCTCCTTTCCATCTCCCACTCAATCACCCTCCTTGATTTCTGGATTTGACACTGGATTTCTTGCTGTTCTCACCTCAGGGTTGTTCCATCTGCTATTTCTTCGATGGCTGATGCTTTTTCAGGGCTTCCATTCTCACTTCATTTTACTTTCTCCTTAAATGTCACCACCTCAGAAAGGCCTTCTCTGGCTATGTTCTATTCCCTGTTTTATTTTTCTTTACGATGCTTTATCACTACTTGCCATTATGTTATACACATTTTTATGCATTTGTTTATTGTAAATTCCACAAGGGCACAGATCTGTGCTATTTACCATTATAAATCTGGAACCTAGAATAATAACTGATGCATAGAAGAAGCTTGATAAATATTTGTTGAATGGAAGAAGGAACCATATTTTTATATTAGGATTGTATTGACATGCTAATATTCATTTACCAAAAATTGAATTATACATTTGGGAGACTATTGAGTATGCTGAGGGTCTGACATTCTGGTATTTTTTATTCTTAGACACTGGTTTAGAATAAAATTGAATTATTCCTACAAAAGTCGCAAGAGTTACATGGGGAGGCAAGGGTCTTCTCGGGTTTCTTTTTTCCCACCTTTGTTACCATGTGATGGCTCAAATTCTGGTAAGACTTTGGTGGAAATGTTAATATTTTTTCTTTCCAACTTTTAGGTTCAAGGGTATATGTGCATGTTTGTTGCATGGGTAAATTGAATGTCACAGGGGTTTGATATACAGATTATTTCATTGCCAAGGTAATAAACATAGTACTCAACAGGTAGTATTTGATCCTCACCCTCTACCTTTGAGTAGGCCCCAGTGTCTATTGTTCCCTTATTTGTATCCATATGCACTCATTTATTTTTTAATTTTTACTTTATTTTTTGGAACAGAGTCTTACTCTGTCACTCAGGCTGGAGTGCAGTGGTGCAGTCTCAGCTCATTGCAACCGCCACCCACTGGGTTCAAGTGATTCTCATGAATCAGCCTCCTGAGTAGCTGGGATTACCAGTTTGCACCACCACGCCCAGCTAATTTTTGTATTTTTAGTAGAGATGGGGGTTCACCATGTTGGTCAGGCAGGTCTCGAACTCCTGGCCTCACATGATCTGCCTACCTTGGCCTCCCAAAGTGCTGGGATTCAGGCATGGACCACTGTGCTCAGCCTAACTCCCACTTATAAGTGAGAACATGCAGTGTTTGGCTTTCTGTTTCTACATTAATTTGCTTAGGCTAATGGCTTCCAGCTGCAACCATGTTGCTGTGAAGGATGTGATTGTATTTTTTATGGCTGCATAGTATTCCATGGTGTATATGTACAACATTTTCTTTATCTAGTCCACTGCTGATGGACATTTAGGTTGATTCCATGTCTTTGCTATTGTGAACAGTGCTGTGATGAACATATGCTTGTGTTTGTCTTTATGGTAGAATAATTTATATTCTTTCAATTCCAATATTGGAATTGCTGGGTCTAATGCAGTTCTGTTTTATGTTCTTTGAAAAATCTCCCAACTATTTTCGATAGTGGCTGAACTAACTTACATTCCCACCAGCAGTTTATAACCATTCCCTTTTCTCTGCAACCTTGCCAGCATCTGGTGATTTTTTTTTTTTTTTTTGACTTTCAAATAATAGCCATTCTGACTGGTGTAAGATGGTATCTCATTGTAGTTTTGATTTGCATTTCTTTAATTATTAGCAAAGTTGAGTATTTTTTTCATATCCTTGTTGGCTACATGTATGTCTTCTGAGAAGTATCTTTGCCTATTTTTTAATGGGGTTGTTTTTTGCTTGTAAATTTGTTTAAGTTCTTTATAGATTCTGGTTATTAACCCTTTGTCAGATGTACAGTTTGCAAATATTTTCTTCCATTTTCTAGGTTGACTCTTTATTGACAGTTCTTTTGTTGTGCCGAAGTTCTTTAGTTTAATTAGGTCCTCTTTGTCAATTTTTGTTTTATGTTGCAATTGCTTTTGGCATCATCATCATGAACTCTTTGTTGGGGCCTATGTCCTGAATGCTATTTCCTAGGTTTTTTTCCAAGAGTTTTTATAATTTTAGGTTTTACATTTAACCTTTTTTTTTTTTTCTGTTTGTGCCAAGAATACTGGCAGTGTTTGCAGCTGCAGTTTACTCTGAGATAGCTTTGCCATGAAATATCTCACTTTTATTATTATTTTCACATTGCTGTAGTATATTGACTTTGGGGAAAAAAAAATCATTCTATTTATAACATTCTGTTGTTAGTAGTATTTCCATCTACAAAATATAGTTATTCTTGATTGCTGAGAAGGTCAAATCCTAGAAAATGTAGCATTCCTATGCATGAGGTTAACATCATTCTCAAATAATTGTTGGCCAAAGGTTCATTTGATGAATCTGATTTTTCTGCAATAGATAATTCAGATGATTCACATGATTTGGATGTTAGTTCTGCTTAGAAATAACTCTAAGGACAGTTTTTATATTTTATTTTCACATTGAATATCAGTCAGATTTGCTTTAGCCTCACAGAGCGTGTTTATGTAAAATTAAGTGAGCACTGGCAGGAAATTGACCTTTTTTTTCTAGATGAGAAATGAGTTAAGTCTTTATCTTGAGTTGATTTTTGTATATGGTAAAAGGAAGAGTTCCAGTTTTAATCTTCTGCATTTGTCTGTTTTTGTATCAGTGCCATGCTGTTTTGGTTACTGTAACCTTGTAGTATAGCTTGAAGTCAGGTAGTGTTATGCTTCTGATTTTGTTCTTTTTGCTTAGAATTGCTTTGTCTATTTGGACTCTTTATTGATTCCATATGAATTTTAGAATAGTTTTTTAAAATTCTGTGAAAAATGTTGTTGGCAGTTTGATAGCATTGAATAGCATTGAATCTGTAAATTGCTTTGGCAGTAGGATTATTTTGACGATATTCATTCTTCCTATCCATTAACATAGAGTGCTTTTTTTTTTTGTTTGTTTGTGTTGTCTCTGATTTCTTTGAGCAGTGTTTTGTAATTCTTCTTATAGAGATCTTTCACCTCCATGTTAGGTCTATTCCTAAATGTTTTATTCTTTTTGTAGCATTGTAACTGGGATTGTATTCTTGCTTTGGCTCTCAGTTTGGACGTTATACATATATAGAAATGCTACTGATTTTAGTACATTGATTTTTCATCCTGAAACTTTGCTGAAATTGTTTATTAGATCTAGGAGCCTTTGGGCAGAGACTATGGGGATTTCTAGGTATAGAGTCATATTGTCTATGAAGAGAGATAGTTTGACTTTCTCTCTTCCTATTTGTTTGTCTTTTCTTTCTTTCATTTGCCTGATTTATCTGGCCAGGATTTCCAGTACTATGTTGAATAGGAGTGGTGAGAGGGGGTATCCTTGCCTTGTTCCGGTTCTCAAGAGGAATGCTTTCAGCTTTTGCTCATTCAGTATGGTGTTGGCTGTGGGTTTGTCATGTGTGGCTCTTATTATTTTGAGGTATGTTTCTTCAATGCCTAGTTTGTTGAGGCTTTTTAACATGAAGGTGATGTTGAATTTTTGAAAACCTTTTCTGTATCTATTGAGATAATCATTTGATTTTTGGTTTTATTTCTGCTTTTGTGATGAATCACATTTATTGATTTGCAGATGTTGAACCAACCTTGCATCCCAAGAATAAAGCGCACTTGATCATGGTGAATTAGCTTTTTTATGTGCTGCTGGATTTGGCTTGCTAGCATTTTGTCAAGGATTTTGGTGTCTATGTTAATCAGAGATACTGGCCCCAATTTTTCTTTGTTAATAGTGTCTTCCAGGTTTTGGTATCAGAATGATGCTGCCTCAAAGAATGAACTAGGGAGGTGTCCCTCCTCCTTGATGTTTTGAAATAGTTTCAATAATACTGGTACCAGCTACTTTTTTTTCTCCTGATACAGGGTCTCACTCTATTACCCAAGCTGGAGTGCTATAGTGCAATCACAGCTCACTGCTGCCTCAATCTCCTAGGCATAGGTGAGTCTCCCACCTCAGCCTCCCAAGTAGCTGGGACTATAGGTGTACACCACCACACCTGGCTAATTTTAGTACTTTTTGTAGAGAGGGAGTTTTATCATGTTGTCCAGGCTAGTCTCAAACTCCTGAGCTCAAATGATCTGCCTGCCTTGACCTCCCAAAGTTTTGAGATTATAGGCGTGAGTCACCACACCTGGCCCAGCTCTTCTTTATACATCTGTGAATTCATTGGGTCCTGGGCTTTTTCTTGTTGGTTGACATATTATGACATATTTATGACATATTCAGTTTTGGAACTTGATTTGTTCAGAGTTTCAATTTCTTCCTGGTTCAATCTTGAAAAGTTGTATGTTTTCAGTAATATATCCATTTCTTCTAGGTATTCTAGTTTCTGTGCATAGAGGCGTTCTTAATAGTCTCTGAGGGTTTTTTCTGTTTCTGTGGGGTCAGTGGTAATATCCTCTTTGTCATTTCTTATTGTGTTTATTTGTGTCTTCTTTCTTTCTTTGTTTAGCTAACAGTGTATCAATCTCATTTATTCTTTCAAAGAACCAATTTTTGCCTTTGCTCTTTTGTGTGGTTTTTCTCACCCCATTTTGTTCAGTTCAGCTCTCATTTTAGTTATTTTTTTTTCTTCTGCTAGCTTTGGAACTGGTTGTTCTTGTTCTAATTCCTCTGGGTATGATGTTAGGTTGTTAATTTAAGATCTTTCTAACTTTTTGATGTGGGCATTTAGCACTATAAATTTCCTTCTCAACACTGTTATAGCTGTGTCCCAGAGATTCTGGTATATTGCATCTTTGTTTTTACTAGTTACAAAGATTTTCTTGATTTCTACCTTAATTTCACTGCTTACCCAAAAGTCATTCAGGAGCAGGTTGTTTAATTTACATGTAATTGTATGGTTTTGAGAGACCCTCTTGACATATTTTTATTGTGCTGTGGTCCAAGAATGTACTTGGTATTATTTCATTTTTTAAAAAAAATTGTTGAGAATTGTTTTATGGGAAAGTGTGTGGTCTATTTTAGAGTATGTGCCATGTGCAACTGAAAAGAATTTATATTCTGTTGTTGTTGGGTGAAATGTTCTGTAGATGTCTGTTAGATCTATTTGGTCAAGTGTCAAGTTTAGGTGTGAATAGCTCTATTAGTGTTCTGCTTCAGTGATCTGTCCAATACTGTCAGTAGGGTGTTGAAGTCTCTCATTATTATTGTGTGGTCATCTAAGTCACTTCGTAGTTCTCTAAGAACTTGTTTTATGAATCTGTGTGCTGCAGTGTTGGGTATGTATATATTTAGGACATTTGAATCTTCTGGTTGAATTGAATTCTTTATCATTATGTAATGCCCTTCTTTGTCCTTTATTATCATTGTTGATTCAAAGTCTATTTTGTCTAAAATAAAAATAGCAACCTCTGCTTTTGTTTGTTTTCCATTTGC